TTTCTGCCACAGCAGCGTGCTGCCACACACCTACTGTGAGCACATGGCTGATGCTAAGTTTGCCTGTGCTGATGTCAGTGTCGATGGTTGGTATGGCGTGTGTGTTCTCCTCTCTACTCTAGGACTGTGCCCCGCTGATCTTAGTCTCCCACAGCCTCCTTCTCTAGGCCGTCTTCCGTCTTCCCTCCAGAGGAGCCTGGCAAAAGGCTCTGGATACATGTGGATCCCACCTTGATGTCATTTCCATATTTTACTTGCCTGACATTTTTACCATAGTTACCCAGAGGTTTGGGCACCACGTTCCTCTCCATATCCACACTCTACTGGCCAATGTCTGCGTGTTGGCCCCTCCCATGCTGAATCCCATCATCTAGGGGATCAAAACCAGGCAGATTCGCGAGTGTGTACTTAGTACTTTGGCTTCACAGTGGAAACTATGCTGAGTTGGGTTAATTATCAGGTGGCATGTTTACCATACGGAACTTTACCTTGCGTTACCTACTTTGCAAAGAATGAAGAATGAATTTAGACTTCCATGGAGAGTATACAAAGAGACTTGTCCTGACTTTCAGAGTCACTTTGCCATGTGATCAAAAAAGGATAGTGTTTATGAAGTGCTGCGGGAGTACCTTCCGCTGCTTCAGCCAATAGTCACTGAAGCACGAGCCCACAGTGCTGCAGGACCGCCTTCCGCTCTGTCAGCCAATAGCCGCTGAAATACCAGCCCACTGGGGTGTGGCATATTTCTCTTTAAAAGAAGAGTGGCAAGCCTCGGCTCGGCCTCTTGGTTCTGGCGCTTGGTTCCGGCTCCTGCTCCAGCGACTAGGTTCCTTTCCTGATGGTTTATGTGCATGTAAGTTTACCCCCCAAAATAAATACCCCCTTAAAACATAACTGGTGTGGGATTGATTCGCCATTAATGAAGCATGGGCTTTTGAGTCGGGACTGAATCCCGACTTCGTTGTTGATGAAGATGGTGGTGGTGTTGATGATGATGGTGATCTATTAATCCTTGGGCAAATTACTTATTTTCACAGAAAGTCTTCTTAGGATATGTTTGGGACATCTTTAATAGAGGGATGCCCACACCAAAGTAACTAAAAGAAGAAGAAAGTTTCACTTATAATGAATTTTACTAATGCAGCACAATGAAAACATCCACGTTGAATCCAGAGCAATGTAATTGTGTATATACATTTATTTTCACTAAAACACATTTAAATTAGAAATTTCATGGAGCATGTAGCTTGGTGCAATAGAAAGCCATTCTTGTGAACATAGTGGGGGTGTGTACACGCTTATGTGCGTATCTTAGTTGGGAGGTTGGTTCGATGAACATCTTGCACAGAAAAAAACATAAGGCTTATTATTGTTTTGTACAGTGATGGATACATTCCTCTTACTTATTAATCATTAACTTTCATATTAGAAGTCTCTGTAGATTGACTAGGACTGAATTAAAACATTGTGAACATTACAGCTTAATAAACGTTTAATGTAAAAACACCACATTTCAGTTTGCAGACTTGTCACAGTCTTCGTATTTCTTGATTGTACTCTGATCGTATCTTTATCCTTAGACTGTGACATGACTGACCTATAAACAGGATTTTTGTTACATATACTGCAGAATAAATTGTAAGTATATTTAAAAATTTCTTTCTTTTTTCTTTAGTATCTTTAAAGTTTTTATATATTGCTTCTTTTTACCCTCACTTTAAGATTATTTCTTTGAGAATTTGATGCAATGTATTTTGATCATATTTACTCCCTCTCCTCACACCTTCCAAATCTTCCCTCTCTGCTGTCTTCCTCTGTGTCCTCTCCTCCTCCTTCAAAACTCACCAGGTATTGTTTATGTTCACATACTCTTGGAGATATGGCTCTCATTGAGAGTGGGCTGCCCACCAGGGTCCACTTCCTTGGAGAAAACTGACTCTGCTGGCAGCCACCAACTACCAAATGCTCCTCAGGTAGGGGTGGAGCTTTGTGCCCATCTCTCCTCGTGCTGATTTTTGTCTGGATGGAGCCAGCACAGACATAATGTTTCTTAAATATTTTTTATGTCTGTCCATTTGAAGGATGGTGGCACACTGAAAGAAGTTCAGGAAAATCAACAGGCTTTATTTGACTTTCAGTGACAATATTAATCAAAACTAGAGTTAGTGCTTGGAGATCTTTCATTTCTCAGGTAACCGCTGCATGACGCAGTGAGTGAGATAACCCTGTGGGGCGCAGTGTTTGGACTCTGGGGAACTGAGAGTGACATCACTGTCACCGTTCCCTCCCACCAGCAGGAAACCATTGTTTCTAGTGTCAATGTCGAGACAGAACACAAAGAAGAAAGATCAATTTTATAGCTAATGCTTCATTTTTCATGTTTTTCCACAAACCAGACAGTCTATAGACTCCAGACTCGCGTCTGTCCCTCCTTCAGTCTACCCGCTGAGCCATTAGCTGACTTTCCTACTGTGTCTCTAGCTCCACAGCGATGTCCTCATGCCTGAAGCCTCACTCTTGGCTCTGTTCTGCTCTCTGAATTTTCCCTTCCTAGGATCTCCTTTCTGTCCAGTATTTAGACAGACTGTCACTACTCTTTAGGAACATCTCTTACCAATGAACTCTTTTTAACTACTGACATCTTTGTACAATATCTGAGTATTTCATGAAACACACAGCAGATGTACCGACAGCAAGTAGACTCTGTTTCAGACAGGGAACATAGGAATTTGGCCTGGCTTACTTTAACTGTTTTCAGATGGGCAAAATCATCTAACTCAAAGCCCATTTTATAATAAATGTTGGTTATCTCAAAAAATCTTGAGATACTTAAAGTAAAAATCACAATGGTTGTATGTGTGTTTTTGCACACTGTAAGATAAAAATAATTGTGAGGGAAGCCATCATAACTGACAGACCATCATATATTCCTGGGAGTCTTTACCCCAATGTTCATTAGAATATGTACATATCTGCACAAAGATATAAAATTAATATTCATTGCATAAAACATATATGTGAAATCAAGAATGCCAGGCAAGGTTACTTCAGTGGGAAGAAATTTTGTAAGACTTCACAGAAATTCTGGCTGATAATGTTCACTTTCATCTTTGGGGTAATGTAGTAGGCATCTTTATGTTTTATATTTTTCTAAGTATATTTATAAAGAAAATGTTTACCTATTTAATAGCCCCAAGCTGGAAATTACTTCTGTATCATCAACAATGGAATAAATGAACTGGCATATGCTCAAGCAATGAGCTGTGGCTAGCAAAGAAAAAGAATGGATTGCACTGATAATAAAAGGAACGAAGGTCTGAGGCAGGTGGGAGAGCTGGCCTTGTGGTTCTAGGAGTGGGAGAGCCAACCCTGTTAGTTCAGGTGTAGGTGAGCCGGCCCCAAAGTCGTAAGCATGGGAGAGCTGTCCCCATTTCTCATCTGGTGGACCAACCCTACAGCTGACCTAAGGTTATGAACTGGTCTGCCCAAACATCTGTCCCATCTGTGATCTGCTGAAGCATGTGAAGGAACCTGGCCTGCAGACCCTAAGCTGCAGGATCTCACAACACAGAATAACAACAAGATAACCAGGAGGAGCCCTAGCGAGGGTCCAGCATGGATAGTGTGGTAGAAACCAGAGACCTCGAACCAGACCAATGACTCTTTGCAATGAGCACTTGAAGTAAAAATATATAAAGGGGTTTACGGTGTGACTCACTGTGTCACACTGCAGTTTCCATGATGAATTTTTAATTTTTTCCTTTATTTTATTTCTCTTTAATTTTGTTTTATTTGTGTGCAGGGGCAGAGGGATGATGTAAAGGGATGAGGAAATGAATGGTAACAAGATTATGATGTAGGGCTGGAAAGATGGCTCAAGAGGTTAAGAGAATTCAATTCCTAGCAACCACATGGTGACTCACAACCATCTGTAATGAGATCTGGTGCCCTCTTCTGGTCTGCAGGCATACATGCAGACAGAACACTGTGTACATAATAAATAAGAAAATAAATAAATCTTCAAAAAAAGATACATGATGTAAAAGACACATAGACTAAAAGAGGGATGAGTCTTACCTATATAATATTGAATTATGAACACTATGAAGTAAAATTAAGCTAGACATAGGAGAAAGCAGAAAAAGCTTTTAAATAATTTAACTTGTAGTCAAAGGATTACAATAAACCAATGATGCTTTTTTATAAATATGAAGTTAGCAATTACCCTATGAGTTATGACTTGAAAGGAACCCATTTGGATCTGCTGAAATGTTGTCAACTCTGTTTCTGGATGTAGAATCTATCAGAAGGGCATATTCAGTTTGTTACAAAAATAATCTTCAGTTGCACACGATGTGCATGCTTCTGAACAAGCATTTATGTCAACGGATAATGAAAGAGAACACACACACACACACACTGTTAAACAAGATTTGGAATGAAAGAAACACAGATGTTTTCTGCTAGTCCAGCTGTTGATCCTTTTCCTGTTTGATTCTGGGCCTCTTTATTACAAGATTATGATGTAGACATCTTCATTAGACACAGAGGATGTCTCTAGTCCTCTGCTCATCTTCCTAGCCAGTCAGTTTAATGAGTCTTTCAGCTTTCTGAGGTAAGTTGTCGTCGGCAGTAAGCTTCGATACTCTGACCTGTTGCACCAACGGGGCACTCTCATCTTAGCTGTCTACACACACACAGACACACACACCCGGGTTAACCTTTACAGGCTGAAGTTCTGTGCTGAGCTGGGTCTCATCCAGCTGTCTACACACACACAGACACAGACACACAGACACACAGACACACCGGGTTAACCTTTACTGGCTGAAGTTCCGTGCTGAGCTGGGTCTCTGCGACCCTGCACTGCTACAACAGAGAGGTTTCTTTGGTTTGAGTCGGAGCGGCAAGGGAGCAGCTGCGGTTTCTTGACTTTGGCAGCTGTTGGGTCACGGTTGTTTTCACCCACACTGTACAGAAAATCTTCTGGAACTACTGACTGAATTAAAAACAACCCTGAATTTTCTTTATTGTACATTTATCCATCCTTCATTTTAAATCTTCTTACAGTATTTTTTAAGCTCTGGATATATTCGTGTTCTAGTTCAGGTACTAATTTCAGTTTCTACCTAGCCTTCGGCCATCACTGGGGACACGAGTACACCATCATTGCTATATTCAGCTCTTGCCTTTCACTATTTTATTCTGACTTTGGTCTGTCACACTGGAAAATATTCCTGACCTAGTTTATAGATGAAGTGTGTTGGCATTCCGGGGGCAGGGAGAACAAACAAACAAACAAAATTAAAAAACAAACAAACAAACAAAATAACCTCAGGTAACAAAAACCCCCAATCCAAACTAAAAGACGTACAATGTTAAATACACATATCTGGGCTTCAACAGAACTAAGAACAGAGGCACAGTTTCTTAGGACGCCTTTTGGCAAGCCGTGGACGATACAGGAATAGATAGGTAAGCGGCCAAAGATAATAGCCAAGAAACAGAGAAAAGAAAACAAGGGAAGTCACACGAAGGAGTCAGAAATGTGGTTTTGACTGAGATAGAAGAGTTTGAGTCCACTATGAGGAGTCTGTCTCACTGGAGGGAGTCATTAAGGAACCTACGGTGGGAATATTGATGTTGAAGGTGAGTTGACATTGACTTTCCATTGCCTCCAGCTAAGGCCTTCATTCTGGGGCTCTGACTCCTCTAAAGAGATGAGGGTGTGACATGGTTCCAGCCGGATGGGCAAAAAAGGCAGAGTCCATGGCAGGAACACCAACAGGAAGTAACAGTCTCCAGGAACTGCCTTCAGTAGTCATTGGTCCTCGGTCGTGACGGGGAGGAGGGAACAGTAGTCATTGGACTCGGTCATGACAGGTAACAGTATCCACAAACTGCTGTCAGTCGGCACCAAGTCCGACCATCACATCTTCAGTGGACAGAGCTTCAGAGGGGCTGAGTTTCCTCCACCATCATTGAAACTGACATTGAAAAAGGGCCGCAGGGGTCCGGCAAAGTCACACTCCGAGAAGGTGTAGATGAGGGAACCACGGTCAGTGATGTTGTAGAAGGAGACAATGCCAGCCTCACAGTCTACAAAGACCCCAACTTGGCACGGAGGCACCTGAAGGTGGAGAGGGGTTTGGGGGGTGGTGCCAGCCTCGTAGTTGTCTTTCTTCCACAGCCAAATGGTCCAGAAGCCGTTCTCAGGACTGAGTGAAAACAGCCCCTTCCTCTGCACAGACTCTCGGCAAACCCCCAGATCCCAGGCCTCCTTTCCGGTCACATCTACCTCCCAGTAAATCTTCCCAGAGGTGAATCTCTGGGCACCTAGCACCATGGGGTAATTATCAAATCTCTCCGTATTTTCAGGCACATTCTGACGGGTATCTCCAAGCCTCACTTGTCTCCTATCCTTTGGGATGATGAGCCATGGGTTGGCTGTGTTGCGATCCAGAGTGATATGGACTGTGGAAAGAAGGTCATAGGTCACAGTTAAGCCCTGGTGGGGCCAGCAACTCTGCCTGTAGTGAGGGGATTCATGTGAACTCAAAGGGGAGGGGTGACCCTGAACTTCACTATGTGAGGAAAGGACCCACAGCGATCCTGGTCCTTCCTCTGATGTGAGAGGAGACCTCACCTGTGTGTCTTTGCTCCACCTGGCTTTTCCACATGCTACCATCCTGTGCTCCCCATGACCCCCACTGGCCCCTTATGTTCAAGCCCACAGTTCCTAGAAGTCACCTCACCCCAACATGTCCTCAGCATCTTCTTCCGCCCTGGCACATGGCACGCATTTGTCAGGTCTGGGGAGGTAACATCTAACGTGTCCAGGTTCAAGGATCCACTCCTGGGGGAAAAGAAGAGTTTGAGAATCGTACTTGGCACTCCCGTCTTCTACCCCGGGGCCTAACGACATTCATCATGGACACCTCTGATAACTAAATTCAATACAAATTTACAAATACTCATGCATTCGATGTCCATGTGAAAGGAAAGAAACAATTTCAGAGTTCCAAGTTCTAGGAAACTCAAAGAAATCCCCATTTCTTCCCGAAGCCAGAGGTCACCACTAAGTCTATTGTACGCACTCCTGTAGGCTGGGTTCTTCTGTGAAGAACCTGGAGTCCCAGCATGCTCAGATTGCCTCCCCCCCCATTTTTTTTTCTTTTTCGTTTGTCTGTGGAGGACTTTAATGTACAAAGATGATACAGTCTAACTACGTCAGAAAACTCATCAGCTGAGATGTCCTTTTGAGGCCCGAGAACATTTCAGACAGGACCAGGTCTCGAGAACAGGGCTGTCTGGGAAAACTCCCAGAGCGTGTGTGCCTAGCTCAGTAACCACTCCTATGTACGCCAGCTCCCGATCCCTTTTCTAACTGAGGAAACCTCTCCTTACCGTTCTAGGACAATTCTCACCTCCTGAGGAGAGAAGAGACATAGAGTCAATTCTGGAGTTTCTGATCGATCACTGAGACCTAACTCCCCAGGCATGTGCCATTACCCATGTTTCCTCGGGGCTGTGCTCTGCACTGTTCCCGTGACACAGGTGATTCCTGCTGACTCAGCGGAAAGGACAACTGACTGCTCATAGAATATCTAGGATCCAACATGGCTGTAGTTAGGATGTGGCCAAGGGTTTAAAGACTGATTGAGAAAACAAATTAGAAGGGCTAGGTTCTTGGAGGAGGGCGATTGACCATGGAGATGGAAGAAGAGGAAAATAAATAGCAAAACCCAACTGAAACCCAGAAGCAGCTTCCGGGAGAGAATGAACGGCTGAGGTAGGGTATCCAGAAGAGTTCCTTGCCAGTTATGGGCTTGAGGAGTTCGGGGAGGAAGGGTCGGCTGGTTGGAAGCTTTGTCCTGTGCTGTGGCTAATCCTCTGCCATATTTAGAGGGAGCTTAAGTGAGAATCCTCGTTCCCGGAGAGTGACAGATATAATGTTGGAACCGACAGGCTCCTAGGCTCAGTCAAAAGGCACTAGGGAGCCCAGCTCAGTGACAGGCAAGAGAAAGCCTTCTGAACAAACCCCAGAGAACTGTCTGCTGGCATCTGACCGAAGGCACAGTGATGGAAGAGGGAGAAAGGCCATCTAGTCCACAGTGTTCCAACGCAGACGCGGGACGGCTGTGGAATCTACGCGATCCTAAGATCTGTGTGTCATCTTAATTTTGCCTCTTACTACTTAAACATTTAACTTGACTTTCTCACTGTCTATCAAGTCTCTGCCCCTTAGTTTCCTCATCCATGGGATGGGATCACAGCAGCACTTACCTCAACCATAGTAAGCCGTCTGCGTGCTGTTTAGGATTCCATAGTTATCATTACGGAAAAAAAAATGAGAAAAAAAAATAGTAGCACCCAATGCATAATTTCTTAGTTAATGTGCTCTGGAAAAAATTATTTTAAAGCTAACTTTATTTTGGGAAAGAGTGAGACCTATTTGCAGAGCAGGAGAAGCTAAAACACACGCAGGCGGCTCACAGAGAACACAAAGAATTAAAACGCAGCAGTTCCGACTAACGTTAGGGCACATTCCTGTCCACGCTCCATGGCTTCATAAACGAGAAGCTGAGTAGAGGAAGGAAACCAGAGTTTTATAAATTATATTCTTTAAAACATGGCTGCTTGTCTAAGCACCAGAATGGATTTTCTCATTTAATTCTTTTAGAAGAAAGAAACAAACCACTGGAGATCCGCAGCACTGCACCCCGCAGCACTGCACCCCAGTGACGTGTGTTAGGGCGGTGCTTCAGCTCCCACACACGGGCACTGCTGCAGCTTCCCGGGATGTGTCTATTGCTTGCTACACGGAGCACTTTCTCCTGAAATGGAAGCCACTCCTGGGTACACGGTTCAGTTTATCTAAGAGTATCCCAAGGACTAAGGTGGCGCTTGCTTTAAGAGTGGTTCCAGATATCTCTGGCAACTCCGGGAGCTTGTGCGGGGGGTGGGGGTGGGGATGGGGGGGGTCGGACCTGCAGCAGCTCCAGGTTGGAACCCCGGCTCCTCCGCTCCAGCTCTGTGATCAGCTCCTGCAGGGCCTGATTCTTCTCAGCTAGCTCAATCTCCTTCTCCCCCAGGACCCTCAGATGCTCCCGCTCCTCCTTCTCCAGCTTCTGCAGCTGCCTCTGCTCCTCCTTGGCCAGCAAACTATTCTGGTGTACAAACTCCGAATGAATCCTCGACTTCTGTATGTCCACGTTCCTCTGCGTGGCAAGGCAAAGACAGGAGTTTTACATTTTTATTTTTAATAAAATTTCCCAGGCTTTGGTGGGGAGGCGTTTCTGTTCCCTGGTCACCTATCCCTCTGTTTATGTCTAGGAATGGGCTTGCACACACACACCCATATTGCGCACAGAGCATGCTCTCAGCACACACACGGCCTCTGGGACTATCAGGGAAACACACTAGGGCTGGGGCTGTAGTAAGTTACAGCTTCACAATTTCTGGAACCAACAGTCATTTTTCAACGTTTCTTCCGAAACTCATGTAACACCCATGTGAGTCCCTTTATCTATCTATCTCAACAAGTCACAAACCTGTGACTTCCAACAATGCACTGTTCCTAAGCCCTGGAGCACAACAATGGCCCCAGGACAGGAGGGTCACCTCTCGCACCCCAGGATGATCTCTTTGCCACCACAGTTGATTCGGTTTTTGCTAATCCCACTTCCTCTTTTGGGGTCCGTGATTGCTGTGAGCCCTTGCGTTCCTTGTTAGTTTCAAATGTATCCCATTTTCTACCAGCGAATTACCAACGTAACAGGCTTTAATTCTTTATTAGGCTTTGAACTAATAACCTGGTCGCCACTAAGCAGCCACTGAATCAGGTGGGCGTCCTACATCAGACTTACATAGATCTCTTCGAGGTGTTCCCACCAGCCTTTGTCTAAAGGGCACAGCTGGGATACTCTCAGGATACCTCAGACCCAGAAACTACAGCGTTGATCCTGTTATCCCAAGAGCATTATCCACTGAGACGGGTCAGAAGGAACGGAGTGACCTTCTTACACTTTCTCCAGTAATTCTTGATCTTTGTGCCAGATTGGAAGAAATCTCATCTGATTTCAAGTTTCTTCCTCCCTCCCTCCTTTAAATTTCTATCTAGGGATATAGTGTGGACGGTTCTTGGGGAGTGACCTATATAACAAGTCTCCCACCCCTTGGAGAGGCACAGTCATGGTTAATGCTCGTTTGAGGTCAAGACCTGGGACCCAGCCCATCCTTACCTTCCAGTCTGTTCTCTGCTTTGCAAGATCCATTTCCAGCTCCTCGGCCAATTCTTTCCCTTTCCTCAGTTTTTCTAAAGCCACGCGGAGCTTCTCCTGCAGAGAAAGGCAACAGGTTAGTCACCAGCTAGAGATGTGGAGGAGGGGATGGGAAGACTTTGGGGAAACCCTAGTATGTCTTACAAAACAGAGCTACACTGACGGGGGATGGGGTCTGGGTCGTTACATCTCTAGTTCACCAGGAAGCCAAAACACATGATCCGTGTAGCAGACCCATGGTAGCCTCTGCTCCTGAGAAATAAGCTTGTGTTTGATGTATAAGCTCCTCTCAGTGAACGAAGAAAATAACCCTCTATTCCCCAACTTCTCCACTATAGGGGTGACTCTCAGTCACTGTTCTGGGGAGCGTTCATAGGCCATCATTTTAAACCCACACGTATCTCTGTGCTAAGGCCTCACCTGGTATACCTGAGCAGCCTCTTCAATAGGGACCTTAGTGTGGTCACGATGTTTCCCAGACTGGGCACATACCCAGCAAAGGGCCTGTCCATCTTCCTCACAGAACACGTGAAGTTTCTCTCCATGCTTCATGCAGCAGTCTTCCGGGCTGCCCTTCTTGGCATCCTCGGCTGTTCTTTTAAGGTTTTCTATCATGTTGGCTATATGTCGGTTGGGCCTGAGGTTTCTGAGCACAAAGTGTTGCCGGCACTCGGGACATGAACCGCCTCCGTCTTTCCCAACCTCGGAAATGCATTCCTTGCAAAAGCTATGACCACATTCGATACTCATTGGCTCCACCATGGGATCCAGACAGATAGCACAGGTGACGTCCTCCCACATCTTTTCCAGAGACATTTTTGAGGCTGTAGAATTTTGAGGAGTGCAGAGAGGGGAAGGGAAGAGATAAAATGAAAGTTTGCAAGACAAAAGCAAAAGCAAGACCAAACTAAAACTCCCCAAAATAATGCAATGGAAAACGCGTAGGAGAATGACATGGGAGGGAGAAACGAAAGAAGGCAAGAATATCAACGTGGTAACAGCAGCCTCTCCTCCACAGTCTGACCCAGCAATCAGTCAGGCAGAAGGGGAAACTGAGTCTCCAGAAGAGGCACAGAAAATTGGCGGTGATAATGCTGTTAATACAAGTCCTCCTTCACCACGTCCATCCCTGCTAACTGTCAGGGGCCAGACTTCTCATGTCTGTCTTCTCATGTGACTGTCTCATGTCACGCCTCCATGTTAACCCCAGCAGTACTGGCTATTTACCGTATGCCATATTTACCCTGGACCCGCCACATTCCAGCGGGGTGCTACATGCTTATGTTAGTCTTCATTAATTCTGACAATAAGCACAGGAGTCAGGGAGTCCGCAGTTACTCATTACACAAGGCGTGTGGGCGAATATGAGGGGCTGTGTATGTGCTAAGTAAACAACAGATACGCTATACCATACAGCCTAGGTGTGCCATTAGCTCCCCTCTCAGGCTCATGCACGTGTACTTCAAGATGTGCACTCATTAGGACATCGTCTAAGAGCATATTCCCAGCCATGAGGGTTACATTGTATTTATGTATGTATGTATGCATGTACATAGATACATAGCTGTTTTTATTTAACCTAATATGTGCTTATATAAAAAATACACTTGAGCACAAATGCATCAATGTAGGCATGCCCACATGGTCCCCCATATAAATGTTTATGTACTTATATGAATATATGTACTCATCCATACACATTTGTGGGGAGCACTAACTGGGCTCTTCTCTAAGCTAGTACCTGACTCAACTTCTTTTAGGGCGCTGAGTGTCTTAAACCCACATAAATTGCTAGTAGAAGATTCTAAATGGCTAGCACTTACCTCTAGCAAGGGTTCTCAAGGGGCAGGGGTTTCCCTGAGCTCCCCTCTGGGCTAGGTCACAACCTGCTTCTCCCACCTTTACCAGCCCCCAGTCTCAGCTCAGGCACTAGTCACCAGGCAGCCCCTTCCGGGGCCCTGGAAAGTCACTTTCAGAGCCCAGCCCCCACGGCAGGGCTGGAACTAGAGAACTCTGCAGAAGAGAAGCAGCAGGTGGGTCCGCAGTTTGGGGTGGGAGGGGGCTCCCCGAATCTGGGGCGGAGGAGAGAGCCATCCCACGTGGGCCGGGGATCCCAGCCTCACTCACCTTACCAGGATCCTCAGCATTGGCCACCGCTCTCAGCTTCGCTGCACAAGCCTGATCCCTAAATTTCACTTTCAGTTTCCTCTCAGAAGGAAGAGGGTGGAGCAAGGGGAGGGCGGAGACGGGGCGGGGACTGCGAGGAAAGAGGTCAGAGGTGCTAGAAGCCACTGTCAGCCAAGCACAGGCGGAGGAAACTGCAGTCCTGCGACTGTTTTGAGTACTGTGTTCTCTCTGAGGCCTCCTCGTCTCATTTCCCAGCACGTAACCTACAGGATACCGATCTCTTGTCTCGGACACTGGTCTTCAGCTCACACTTGGGAGCATCTGGGAGAAGAGGTCTGGATGGAGAGGAATGAACCGCCATCTGCTTGCTACTCCCAGGAATGGATTCCTTCCCACAAGACTGGAAGTTCTTTAAAACCTGGGGTTTAAAAGATCCCGCCACCATTTTTATTAGCATATATTAATTGTGCAGTGTACTGTAATTAAGTTCATTTCCCATTACTCTATCTTCCGATTTTTCTCCCCTTTTCTCAAATAGTCTGGGGTGAAGAATTGATTCCTTATGATATTAAGATAGGTGTTGTCCCAATGAAAGGAGTTGGGATTTGTGGGCATCGACTGCATTTATAACACGCTAAAAAAAAATCGGTTGAAATTTCCTTGATATTTATTTTATTTAGAAAACATAAAAGCATCTCATGTTTTGAAATTTTTAGTCCTACTTAGGAGAGATTTTCTTAGAGAAAGGCCACCAGGTGACATATACTGTCTGGATTGTGCTGCTGTGGTAGGATTTGATTCCAGGAACACAAACAGCCCCAGAAAGCAGAATGAAAAACAGAGTCAGGCATCTGACGTGACGAAGAGAGCTGTAGACCCCAGAAGACGACATCTTCACACCCATGAAGACGTGTTGCTGTTTCCTGCAGTCCTCAGGCCAGAAAAGATTCTTCTCCCCAGATAGGGCAGGGGAAAAGTCGGTGTCTATTTGGTTATGAGTAGATGGCGCTCTGTTTTTGTTTGCACGCTGGATTGACACACCTACCCTAGGGATCTGTTGGTACATGTGCACACAGGCTGACTGATAGGTGTAGATAGCTGCCTCAACTCCTACGCTGATAAATGTTTGAAGATTCACACTATCACTCATTCCAAATTTTCTTCACCCACAGATAGCACTTTCGTATTCCAGTCCCGTCCCCCCTCCTCCCCTCCGTTAAAACGACCCAAGTCTTTATTTGGGAAGGAGCGATACCATTGACACACATTACTGTCCAGCATATTGGCTGCTTAGTGAACTGAGAAGGAGTATTTGGGTTTTGATCGTAGTCTCCACTGAAACTACTTTACTTTAATGTGTGTCAGTAGCCAAAGTTGTCCCTGGTGGTAGGGATAAGTCCACTCTGGCCAGGACAGGAAGGACATCCTCTGCCTAGTTCTAATTTAGTGACCTAAGAGGCTCCAAAGATGTGGATGTAGAAGCAGGACCAGTCGGGAAGAGGAAGGGCTCATCAGGAGCGGGAGAGGCGCAAGAGTGGGTGACAGAGGGTTGCTCATTTTAACTGTGCATCAGAATTAGCCTTTACTCTCATAGATGAGGTGTTTGCTGGTTTCTGTGCCTATAATAAAATACCACAGATTGAGTAATTCATAAAAACAGGTTTCCTTTTTTACGACTGTGGAGGGTGGGAAGTCCGAGATACGGCAGCAGCAGGTTTGTTGCCTCATACTCGCTCTCTTCTAAAGATGAAGCCTTCTCTCTGGATCTTGTTCCGTAAGGATTCTAAGGCACAGCTTCATTTCCTGTAATCATCGTCGTCGTCATCCTCACCTTAATATGTGAATTTCACGGATACACAGACATTCAGATCACAGCAGATGGGATTTCCAAATTGCTGTCACACCTGTGCTCTCGGCAGGGCTACTGACCACCTGTCCTAACTGATGATGCACATCCCAGATAAATGGTTTCCATAGGGAAGCCCCATTATTAGGACTCATTAGATCTAAAACAGTTTCCTGGTTACAGGTAATGCTTTGGAAATAGCTTAGTGGTGCAGGTTTAAAAATGGTGACACTTGGCAGACATAATGTAAAAAGAAAAACATATACAGGAATATTACTTACTTTGTTTGAAAAATTCCATTCGTTTAATGTAAATAATATCACTAGAAAACTGCTCAGACTTTCCTAGGCACAGTAAAAAAGTCAGGCTAAGAGTTAGAGTTATACATAATGGCAGCATTCCACTTCCTCCAGGAACCCCCAACTTCCTCCTTCCACTTCCCCCAGGAAGTGATGGGATCTCCAATCTTAAGACCCCGTTATGGATCAACTGCTGTAAGCAAATGTACAAAGAGTGTAAGATTAATTTTGGTTGTAACTTTGCTGGCTTGAGGTGCTGTCTGGAGAACTGGCCTCTCTCTCTGAATGAGTTTGATATAGTCCCCCCCCACCAAAGCATACTAAGACTCTTCCACAGCTTGACCATGGGGAGGGCAAGGTTAATATGTGTATATTGGTATAGAGGAGGCTTGATGGGCCAACAAAGCCAGCTCTTAATATCTAATGGGGAAGTGTAAAGCTTGTAAATCCTTTCCCAAGAGCCCCATGTATTATAATTTATTTAGGTTTTAAAGGACTCGTGTGTGTGTGTGTGTGTGTGTTTTAAAGTGCACGAATTTGGTAGGAAAAATGGTAGGGGAGTAGGGGAGGAACTGGGAGAAAGGGAATAGGGAATAGGAAATACGGTTGATCAAAACACAATATATGCATGTATGAAATTCTCAAATAGTAAAAAAGAAAAAATTCCACATGAAAAGTTTGTATTTTAAAAGAGAATGTGTAGTCATTTTATAAAGTAAATGATCTGAAACAAACCAGATTAATGAGTGTTGGAAAAAACAAGACTTATTTTATGTGTGTGTGTTTATGTGCACACGTGTGCAAGTGCCCATGGAAGCCAGCAGGCGATGCTGGATACTCTGGAGCTGGGGTTATTAGGCAGCTATGTTGCCTGATGTGAGTGCTGAGGACCAAAATCTGGTCCTCTGGAAGAGTAGAAAGCACGCTACACGGTTTCCCAGCCACATACGTCCTAATTTAATCATAGCAAAGATTCTGTAGAGCAATCATCACTTCCAATATACAAACAAAGGCTAAAGATCAAGGAAGTCAGTTGTTCACAATCACATATTTGGTGACTGGCTCAGAAATAAACAGCCCAGAAGTTTTCTACTACATCAAGCTAAGCAAATGATCACCAAGGGCATTCCTGGGAATGAGAGAAAGCTTGCTTCTGGGGTGTCTTTACCTTCCAACACTGTCATTTCCAAGCGCCACCGTGGGGTTAAGCAGAAAAAATTTTCATCCTCTCTCCCAAGTTTCCTGGGCCTAAGGCACTGGTGTGTGTTTCTGGCTAGCCTAATTCCTCTTTGAAAGAATTTGGCAAGATCACACTGATGCTCTCTAGATACAGGCATTCTTCAAGGTCTCTTCCACAGTAGAACAGAGTGTGCCCAATCTCTAGGTACCCTCTTGCTCCCCACCTGCCTCCGTCTGTCACAGGAGTTCAGGGGGCTGGGTCTTCAGGAAACATAGCCACTCTGCGTGAGTTGTCTTGAGCGCCCTCCTGGCCTGATGCTTCCACACCAGGTCTCAGAGCTGCCTGTCCCAGAGCTCAGGGACCTCAGCAAGGTGAGCTGAGTAAATCTCTTGGATTTGCGTCTGGTTCCCAGCAGACCAGTTATGTCTCCACTTCCAACAGGAAGATTATAAAGCACTGGCCTTTATGGGCAGAGCAAGAGATGCTTCTTACTAACAGAGGAACAGATGAGAGGAGACACGGACTCTGCAGCTGTGGTGAGTGAGCGTATGAGCTGCCGGGGCTGGGCGGAGGGACTCTCTGCCCGTGCCATCATTTCTGCTACTGAGCAGCACGGTAGCCATCTAGAGCAGCCGCCTTCCCTCTGGGTCAGTCGTCCCTGAGACGTGAGAGTGCCTGGATGAAGGTTTTTCCTAATCTACTAGCATGAGGGACTTGGGTCTGTGAGGCTCTCTTTAGGGCTGACTGTTCCTAGGTGGTCCGACCAAGGACTAGAACGAGAAGATGGGCAACTCAGGATGAAGGGTAACACTGTTCTTCGCTGCTTCAGGCACAGGCAGAACCCTAAGTGTTCTACAGTCCGTTGTGGGGCAAAGTTAGCTACAGCATGGGATCAGCTGCTTGGCTAAACCTCCATCTAAGTGGCGATTTCTGACTAGTTTGAGGAAGGTAGTTGACAGTCTCTCTTCTGCTAAGCCAACTCGGTCTGAGGAGGCAGGAGGGACCATATGACGCTGGTCCCGTTAACACTTGCTAGAGCCTCATGACTTCTGGATGATCTCATAGACCTTCACTGCCACTCAAGGATAGATGCGCTCCTGTTGTTTCTTGTTTACAGATAGACAATTTAGAACAAAGAGGTACCAAAACATGCCCAATACTCACTGGTGGCAAGTAGCAATGCTAGGATTCAAACCCAGACTTTATGGATCTAAAGCACAGACTTGAAATGTTTTCAGTTTAGTTTAGTTTATTTTGTGTGTGTGAGTGTTTTACCTGCATGTATGTATGCACACTACATGTACTCTCAAAGGGTCATTATCTCTCATGTGGGGTGGGGAAGCCAACCTGGGCCCTCTGCATGAGCAACAAGAGCTCTCAATGTCTGAGTCATTTCTTTAGCCCCTAGAGTGTGCACCTTTAATCCTGTGTTGCTTGCCTAGAATGTAATATATATATTATATGCCTACATGCTCTAACTTCTGAAATACCAGTGTAAAATGTGTGATTTTAATAGAACACACACGCTACTAAAATTACCCAAATAATTCCCCTTCTCCTCCTCTCTCTCTCTCTCGCCTTCCTTTCTTTCTTCCTTCCTTTCTTCCTTCCTTCCTTCCTTTCTTCCTTCCTTCCTTCCTTCCTTCCTTCGTTCCTTCTATGTGTCTATAGTTATTACATCTTGATACTAAATATATTCTGGCCTTACTGTAGACTGTAACCTCACCAGTTAAATGTAAGTTTTAGTTGC